TCATAAACGTTTAAAACGTTTTATTTAAGACAAAAAAAAATAACAAAATATTTTATTTTATGTAACTTATAACTTGATTTTCGACAGATACCTTAATATCACAGTACCTTACACAGTTATAATAAATAATAATAATAATACCAAAAATCAAACTTAATGTAAATGTAGCCATGTACCTAGATGTAGGTAACTATAATTCTTTATTTTTATTTTTTTCTTAGTTAGTGTTAATAACTTAATTTTGAATGTTGATTAAAAGTTAAAACAATTTAATGTACGACTGTACTACAATTATTTACAGTTAAGTCCAACAAAGATTTTTGAAATTTGTTGTTAGTTGTTACTGCCCTGCACTAAAAAAATGATTGTTGAAAAAAGTTGTTTATAGACTTATAGTTTAGACGAAATGTATGTTCCATGCAAAAAAAAAATTTAACAAAAAATGGCGTTTAAAACAATGTTAAAAAAAAATAAAAACGTTTTAAACAAAAAAACATCGTTTTAAACGTTTTAATCGTTTAAAACGTTTTTTTTGCAACCCAGCCTACCACCGGTTTGCGCTGGCGCGGCGACTTTACCGCCAGCTTCGCCGTCGGCGCCGAACCTTCTTCTAGCGCTTCGGTCGCACGACACCGCCACACCGGCCCAGCTTCGGTGACTTGCACGTTCTGTGTTTTTCCGACCGTTGGCACGACGCCTTTTCCGTGTTCCCCAACGTTGTATGTGCGTCGCTACCACGTGCGCCGTGTGCGACGAATAGTCGAAAGCGGCGTTTTCACCGTGTGCGTGCCCGAGCTAAAAGTGTGTCTCTGTAGCGGCCCAGCTGTGTACCTACAACAGCATTACGTTGGTTGAGCGTTTTTGGCGTATTTGACGTATTTGGCCGCCCGAAACCTCTTGGTTCTCCTTGTCAAAGCGGCTTGCAAGTTGCAATATTTGTTATTTGTGACATTTGTGTGTTGCCGCTGCGCCGAACGCGTGCAGCCCCGAGCCCGTTGCACCGTCGTAACGTTTGTTGTGTGTTATCGGTGAAATAATATATTTGTCATATTTGTTGATAATAACAAATTAAAAGTAGAGTTAGAAGTATTATACCACGATGAAAAATATCAAGATTTACCTATATCATGTTTATGATTTAGTAAAAATATTTGAGAGTAGGTAGTGGATTAAAAGTAATTTTACCTGAAGTTTATAAACTATTTTCTTTAATATTATCTATACCATCTACCAGCGTATCAGTAGAAAAGAGTTTCTCCTGTCTAAAACGTATAAAAACATATTTGCGCAACGGTATTTCCCAAAATCGATTAAGTTCTCTTGCTATAATTTCAATAGAAAAGAAGTTAATTGACCAACTAAAACATACTGGAGCGTTTTATGATGAAGTCATAAATATTTATGCGAGTAAAAAAAATAGAAGTGTTGATTTACGATATAAATCATAAAATCATATTAGGACATTGTAGGTATATAATATGTCAAATTGTCAATCACATATTTTGTAAATAATGTATTATTTATTAAAATCTATATTGTATATGTTTTATTTTAAAAGGTTTATGTCAGATGACAGGTTATTATTTTTTTTTTGGTTTGTCATATTAGGAACACCTATATTTTGTTTATTAATTATTATGTATTTATGTTTTGAGTTTAAATCAAATTACTGCTAAAAGGCTAGTCATGTAATATTTTATATTGTTTTTTGTTATTTATATTTTATGTGTGTAAAATACTGTAAATTATATGTATATAGTTGGGGAGGGGTGTATGGAAAACCTCTACGTGGTATACCCTAGGCAACAGAAGTGATCTAATCATAACTGGCAAATTTTTCCACTCCATTTTGATAAGCCATACCTACCATTTAAACTTTAAAAAATACATTTACATATTTTGTTCCTGTGTTAGGGTAATAGTGTATTTACTATTTAATATTTTTCCGCCTCATGTAAAATTACATTCCAAAACCGCCACTGAGAGGACCGGGTTATTCATAAATATATTTTGTATGCTGTAATTTTGTTGGTTTGTAATTTATACTATTTTATATTAATTTTGTTGGTTTGTAGTTTATACTATTTTATATTGGGGCGCCATTTCGTAATTATTTACCTATTCTGTATATATATATAGTACATACAAGTCAATAAAAACCGTCAGAATTTAAATCATATTTAGGTACAATAAATAATAATATATTCATTTAATTGTACTTAATATATTATTTAATATGATAGAAAACATTTATTTAATTTATTTTTGGAGAAAAGTGTATGGGTAGGCCAGGGCTTACTTTAATAAATATTTGTTTATAATGTTAATATTTTTGTTGTCATGATATAATAGACAAACGACATAGGCTGATAAACACAGAACATATTAAAGTAAAATTAATCCTAAATTCATAAATTAAAAACTGTGTCCCATTCATAATGCCATAGCTTATCATTGGATGGAAGTTTTAATCAGGGCTATTTAAGGGCAGTGTCAGTCTGGTCATGGCCGTAGGGTCCCCTTCGTTTTTTAGGGTCTCATAAATTTTTTATTTGCTTGACGTGTTCCTGGTCTATATGGGGAGTAGCCGAGTAGGGAGTCTAGAGTAAGTACATTTTTCTTTACAGATCACAGATGCTTACCCATAGTATAGTGTTAGCAGGCCATAATGGTACAAGTGTCAAATAACAAGTAGGAGTTGATTTTTTAGGTTTAATTATATGACTGCAGCTAAAATCTAACTGAAGTCTGTTCTTAAAATAAGCCACAAGTGTGCCTCTGGAAACATGCCAATATTGCATACTTTTGAAAGATTACTAAATTATATTATGCTTATGCTTTATAACTTATGTATTTTGTCTTCAAAGTAAAAATTCTATAGACATTTTTATTTCTGTGTACCTAATTAATAATAGTTATTTACCATTTACTATTTTGTAGTTTCAAATTTTTCCATAGTTTCATAGTTTAATATTAAACAAATTAATCATTATTCTCCTCGTCAGGCTTCGTGTTAATATCATACTGAGTGATTTTTTAAGATTCCTCACACTATTATTATGTTATTATCACTATTATTATTATACATATTACATATTACCTATATATTTATATTAAAATTCTGATTTTTGGAGTTTTTAATATACTTGAAAATGTTCGAATACTTAAGATTTTCTGTACCATTTAAGGATTATCCTAAGTATAAACATTTTAATAATAGAGTAACTACTTATTAGAATTTTTATTTAGATATATCAACATTTTCAAGAAAAACACCTGCTAATAATTTGCAGCAAAAAAAGGAGTTACCACTTGAAAAATATAAGTCTTATAGCTACAGAACACTCCTTAAGTAGTAAAAAAAGTAGTATCAATAATTTGAACATATGGTCTTTAAGTACCTATACTTAAAAATTCTAAAAATTAGAATTTGAATAAATGTTTTTTTAAAGGAAAAAATGGTATTGAAAATGTTAAATACATTTTTTTGGGGCCTTTGTATTTAATTTTGATGGAGACCCTTAAAAAAACTGATCCGTGAGGCTATGGTGTGCCAGGCCGATAGTGTTTAAGGGGCAATGTATGGGGGAGCAAACATAAATATGACGCCCCTAATACAGTATACGCCTTTTTTTACAAGTAAATAACAAAAAAAAAATGTTCTATTTACGTTTGAACAAACATTATACAATATACTTACAACAAAACTATATGCACATCTACTCATTAGTTATCTACTTTTGCTACACTTAAAGTTTATTTTATGTGGCGTAAGTCAAAAAGATTTTTTTTCCAAGCAGAAATAATGACTTAAGTCAAACTGAAATCAGATTGACAATAAAACAAATATGGTTAAAAATGGTAATTAAATTATTAATTTAAGTATGTAAAAGTAAACTATACAATATTAACAATAATATAAGATGAAAAAAGAATAATTAATTAAAAATCCTATTTGTAATGACTAAATGACATAATGAAACATTAAAAGTCGAATACCCAACATTTTAATATTTTGATTTGTGTCACTATTCTTTCAGTTGTGAGCATAATTTTTAAGTTTTCAATTACAGTTTACAATAATATAAGATTTCATTTTTACAAATTATTCCATACGATCTATAGAAAATTTTCCTGCAGAGTACAAGTTGAGTAAATTATGCATTGTTCTGACTCATCTGAGTTATGATTTAAATTGAAGAAGTTAATGTTCATAAAACGGATACAGTTTTCTTGATATTAATTGTAAAATAATATTAAATGATAGTTATGGAACCTTGTGCTACATTTTTATACATATTAGGACGGTTATTGACATAACCAAATAAATATTAAAAAGCCAACTGTTGCCTCTGAAAATGAACATTTTTTAATGATTTAAATGCAAAGAAAATGTGACATATGATTTTAGGAATTATTATTATTACAGCTGAGAGAAGCATATTATCAGGATCCTTGTATTTAAATATGTTCTATGATTTTATTTAAAAATTAAAATATAATTATACATACCTTTATTGATAAAATAAGTAAATGTCCTTATATATACAAAAAGAGTAATCATATTATATAAATTACAATCATATACCAATTCTATAAAATTCTAATTTAAAAAACCGCTCAAAAATGCACACCTCAACAATTGTAGAAACATTCTACTTTGTAGAAAACTGACTTGGTATTCAAAATTATCGTTTTTCCTTAAAGTTAATGTAGGTACTTTTCTTCATACACCAACTAAATAAACGCATCATTGTAAAATCTTTACATTTATTACTCAACGCATAAGTAAAACGTGAAAATCTATTGTCTTATTGTCAATATAATAAAAAATAATCTCTTATAAGAGAAATAAAATAACTTCAATTTTTGAAAGAATCCAAATAAATATTATATTACTTAGCAATACAGAAGTTTACAACTGATCATAATATTTATGTTAATGTAAATAATTATTTAAAAATGTTATAATTAATGAATACCCATACCTATCCATTTATTCATTTCCTTGACATTAAATTTTGTGATGGTGTCAATTTTAACTGCTTGGCTGTTGACTTCAGTAACTGTAAATATTTAATTCATACAATATAAATTTTTGGATACTAATAATTTAGATATCTAGGTATGTTTTCTTTAAATACAAATAGTACATTGAATTTCAATTCAAAATACAATTCTGAAGGTATCTTAATATAATTTAAAGCCCCAGAAAACCACACAATTATTTAGTTTTATTTTTAGATTATGAGCGGAGTGATTACATGATAATGTGTCTTTTTGTACTGTTTGTCATCACTAGGGCTCGGGACTTCTAGGAGTTTGCATGTTTTTAAATAATCATCAAAAACATAGCTAACTAATATAGAAATTTGTTTCATAGCAATACAAGTTTATATTTAAAATTTATAGTTGCATATTTTGCATATTTGACCATTTTTCATTTATAAGTGCATATTTGACCATTTTTCATTTATAAGTGCATATTTGACCATTTTTCATTTTATAAGTGCATATTTGACAATTATTTATATGAAGGAGTATAAGTATAAAAACGTCGATCAACTCGTATCCAATGTAAAAAAATCATTTCTTAAGGCACCGTCACGTATTCAAATATTAAAATCTGTTGCACCTGATATTCCATTACCTCCGCAGCCTATTTTGACCAGGTGGGGTACATGGATAGGTGCGGCTTCATACTATTGCAATCATTTTAAAATAATTGGATGCGTAATTGATATGCTTACTGAAAACGATGCAGAATCTATCAAGAAATGTAAACAAATTTTAAAATCCAATAATTTGGAAGCAAATTTAGTTTTTATTTTGTCAAATTATGGATTTATATCTTCATCTATCACTCGACTTGAAACCCAAGGCGTGGCACTAACTGAATTCATTAAAATAATTAAAATTGCAAAAGAACATTTACATTCTGCAAAAATTCAAGGATCTGCACAAGCTAAAGCAATTGATGAAAAAATAAAAAAGGTTTTGGAAAAAAAAGTTGGATTTGATCAACTACTAAAAATATCAAACATTTTAAATGGACAAGATGAATCAATGGACGGTTTGCCTGCAGATATTAGTAGTAGTGACCTACCATTTTTTAAGTTTGCGCCAATAAGTTCTGTAGACGTGGAACATTCCTTTTCCAAATATATAAATATTTTGGCTGATAACAGGTGGTCATTTAAATTTCCCAACTTAAGAAAGTATCTTATAGTCCAATGTAATGCTCAAGGTAATTAGTGCTATGTTAAAAATATAAAAATGTATTCAATTTAAATTATTTTTAAAAAAATTTAAAATTTTTTGTTTTAGATAAAAACTCAACATAAGATGAAAACAAAACTGAAAAAAAGAATACAATTATCTCAGATCATCATATTCATATCTATCATAATATCTAAAAAATAGTACTATTATTTATTAATTATTACTAATTTAATTTTTTATTTAATTATTTATAATGCATTACAAATATATATATATTTTTTTAAATGCATATTTTAATAGCATATTTAGTGATTCTTTAGGGCATAAATGCATGCATATTTTAAGGTTTTTTAGGGCATGAAGTCCCTAGCCCTAGTCATCACCATTTGGTAGAGTAAAATTACATGCATTTTATAGTAACTCAAAATAAAATGTCCGTGTATACATTAAATTTTATATGACAATTTTCCATCCAAGACAAATTTTTCAAAATATATTAAATATTTTTGAACTTTTTATATGCATGTAAAATTCTTGATTGTTTTATACAGAAATGTAATAAATGCATCGTTTTTGGAAAAAATTAGATCAATTTTTCTTAATACTAATGGGAAAATAAGTTTCTTTAAAAGCAATATCAAAAAACATAGGTATCATGAAAATATAAAATTGATACCATACCCTCTCAGAATCATTATTCGTATAGAAAGATAAACCATCGAACTTTATAATTTGTTACATCAAGTACACACTCAACACCTACTTTACCTACATCAGAGTAGTACCCATTTATAAAAATTATGAAAAGCCGAAACCACATTATTTATTTATTTTGTGGCTGTTTAAAATCTTAGTAAAGACATACATTTAATTCGTTCCAAAAAAGTTCTAACAATGTGAAAAAAAAATATTAACAAGTTTAAAATTTAAAGCAATAATATTACATTTTACTAATATTAAAAATTGTAAATATAATTAGGTATACCTTTACGGGCAATTCGATTTCCTGTATTTCTCCATCACACGGCGATTGATTATAAGGTATCACTAAGCGTCGTATAGGTCCAATATCTAAAAAATACTCAATTACATTACAATAATCAATATACTAGGTAGTAAAGGTATAATGTAGTTTTTACAGTTTTACATTAAAATGTTCACATACTTCCTGTCACCCTGAAGTAATCAAAGCGATTCAACAGCGGCTGTGCATTACGTATATCCATATAGTATACTTCTATACTTTTAAGCACTCCTCCACAATATTTTACTGTAAATACACGTAAGTCCCTACCATCAATCTCATAAGCGGTCACCGATGCATTGAAAGCTATGATGCCGGTCCATAATAAAATAACTGCTTTTAAACAATTCCTGAAATACACATAAATATTCATTATCACTCACTGAATAATAATTTAAAGGGTGGCATCCGAATGGAAGATCCAATTATTTATTAAAAATATATCATTGGGCCTTGTCAACTTTTTACTTGACAAACGACTTGACATGATTATTTTTGATTGGAAATTAAACTGACAGAATTTATTGTGTCAAACTGATTGGCGAGTGGAAGAAAGGAGGTTAGCATTGTATAAATATTATTAAGGTACTTACATCGTCTTCTTTAAAAATGTCGATTCTGCGGTGATTTTGTACGACCTTTAAGAATATAACAGATCAACGTTTTTGAATAACATTTCTGAAATAGTATGACGTCTGACGTGAGAACAGCTACCTATGTGTGTTCGTTATAAAAACAATCGCTTAGCTCTCGACGTACACACACACACACACACACACACACACAAACGTTGAATGACGGTGGTGCCATAATAACATGCAACCTTCTTTGCTTTTTTTTTTTTGAAGTGAAAATTCCTTACGCGGGATAACGAAATGTAACGGGCGGCGCCAGTGTTGACAGACTCTCAAACTAATATTATCGCAAAGTACTTCAATAATGGACGTTTTTCAAAAAGACTATCGTTCACCAAACATTTTTTCGCTTCAGTGCCCAGATTATAATAATATGATCCCTGTATAGTATATATATAGTATGCATATGCCAACGCAAGTGTGCATTCGTTATTGTCGTCACACAGACACAGTCGACATTTTAGACTTGCGTTACTAATTCACCGATGCTTCGACCAGTCGTTCGAATTCTATATAATATTATTACTATGAGCACGTATATCGCATTCGTATAATATGTTATCTTGTACCGCTAATGGACTCCGAATACAATACATTAAATCATCATTCATCCGTACAACAAGTGTACAACAAACGTATTATAATCGTTATCGGACGACGGTGGACTAGCTATTCAAACAGCGGGTTCGATTATCATTGATTTGTTATTGCTACCACTTCTTTGACTCCCATGACCCATAACGCGTTGGGTTAGGGTACCACACACACGCGTATACACCAGGGGCGTATACAAGGGGGGGATGTGGGGGTCAGATCCCCCACATCCTTTTTTTAAATTTTATAAAATAGTGTTCTTAATGACTTAATGTAAGGAAATTACAAGGAAAAAAAATGGCAAGGATTTTTTGTAAATTTTTATTTTAACACAATATTCAACAATTAATTAAAAATAATTTACATATAATCGTATAGGTAATCGTATTATGTGATATTTGATAATATGTATATTATACCTATATACAAGTATAATAAATTATTATAAAAATAATAATATGTGGCAGACCAGCCACGGGCCGTCGCCACCGTCACCGATATCAACGCGGTGGAGACGATATAATAATACATTTTCCTATACCTACATTAGAAAATGAAATATTATTATGGTGGTATAATATAAGGTTATTGCACGATGGTTTTTACGCATTTATACCAAAACATTATCAATTTTGTATATTATCAACTAACATGGATATCCCTACAACATACTATCAAATAGCTATCAGTAATTTGTTCATTGAAAGCTAAAAATTGCTTAAATAATAAATATTATTGACTAAAAAAAAAGAAAATTAAATTTTGTTCTATAATTACTTGTAGAATTTAAAATAAAATGTATTGAATATATATATGTTTTATCATTTATTAGGTATTTAAATGAGCACATACCTAGGTTTAGGTATTTTCGTTCCATAATAATTTGTTTGCAACTGATCCCCCCCCCATACAAAAGTTATGTATACGCCACTGGTATACACCATGCTCCTCGTACAGTTTATATATATGTTAATACACACCGTACACATGTTATGTTATCGTGACTTATATAAATAAATACACTTGCCGGCGTTTGTTGACATTTGGTCGAAGGTTGTTTGATTCATTACCGTGTGATTAGCCGGAAACGACTTAAATAATAATAGTGTGTAATGAATAGTTTGTAATAAAATTGTAGAACATTGTATACTGACGTTCGAAATGTTTGTTAGTTCGCAGTTCGGTAGGTATTATTATTAATTAATCCAAAAAATGAGACAGATCGATAGGTAATCGTTTGTAGTATTGTTTTTATCCAGAAAAAATATTTGTGAGTGAATTTATTAATTAATATCAAATAAAAAGAGGTACATATATCAAATCGTTGGAAGGTATTAGGTAAGTGGTGGTCGTGAGTTAGTTGAGTGACTGTTTTTTGCTGTGAATAAATATTATTTAAACGTTGCAAAATAAAAAAACAAATTCATCCATCTTGGCCCATACTAAATAATATGAATAATTAATGATCGATTATTATACCGTCTATACTGAGAGCCCAATATCAGTTAGCATCTAGTATATTTAATTAATTGTTATTGGTTGATTAATTCACTCACAAACCTTTTACCTGGACAAAAACAATACTACAAACAATTATCCATCGATCTGTCGAATAAAAATAAAAATAATAAAAGTATCAATAATAAATAATTCCGGATAACTTTCTCTCACTTTTAAATTAATTTATATTAACTCAGTTAAACTCACGTGTACCGTTCAAAATAAGTTTCACTTCCCGCGCGAGTACTGGCAAGTGGTAACACACACACACACACACTATTATTTTTTTAAATAATTATTGACAAAATATATTGACACAAAATGACAAACTAAAAATTTAATAACAATGGATGTGTGACGTGAGAACAACACCATGGGTGGTCGTTACAAAAACAATGTATATGGCCTCCTAGCTCTTGAGT